AAAGGTACCTGTTTACATGAAACCCCGACCAAAACTAAACTCGTAAAGACAGTAATTAACTAGATAGATATATAGAGAGCTCAAATTAAGTTGAATTCTAAGCTTTTAAATGCACAATTTATGAAATTTTGCAGCATTTAGCAAATTACTACTTTATAATAGAAAACAGAAACAGCAATAAGAAAATCATTTCACAAACTCACATCATCATCATCTGAATCACTAGAGACGGCGGCAGGCTCAGCAACATTCTCAAACATAGCTGGTGAAGACCAGGAATTAGCTTGAGATGTAACAGATGAAGCTTTCCCCACCATTCTTGCCTCAAGTTTCGCAATTTTTGTAGGCAAAGACTGGTCAGATTGGTTAGAAGAATTGGATGCAAAATGAATGACCATATCATCAGCCATTCTTGAAAAAAGAACAAAGATATCAGATCATTCCCAACTGACCCAAAACAACAAAGAACCTAAAAAAGTGAACTTGGGTGTCTTTTAATAATTTTGAAGCGATTCTAAGATACCCTTTTAGTCAAAAAGAGTTGTAAAATCAAGAAAACGGCCGTATCAGAGAAATCAATTCAACCCTTTTGACAACTTCTTGTAAGGAAATGGGACAGAGGAGATTTAGGGTTAATTTAATTCCCTTTTCTTGAGGAAAATGGAAAGAATCAAAGAGAGGGAAGTACTAAAAAAGAGTTGAGGGGGAGATTTTTGAAATCTCAAGAAGTAGTCTTTTTGGGAAGAGCAAAAAAAGTTATAGTTCACTCCGCATTTGAGCCCAGACTAAATTTATGTACGATAAGGCCCATTAAGAGGTGATACTTCTATTATAATTTTCTCCAAACCTACTGCTCGAACCTGAGAACATGATGGCTTATAAGTGAACTTTTAGAGAGGGGGAGAAAAAGGGTGAGGAAAAGAAAAGAAGAGAATAGAGCAAAAGATGTTTGTACTTTGTATCATATAATATAGATAAAAAGATGAAATCAGTCTCTAATGTTTAGGGATAGTTCGAAACCGTTCCTAATTCTTTAATCGCGAGCATAAGTAGTCTACTATGTTTCTAAAATGTGTACACATTTAGTCCAGAAAGTAGTATAGTGTCCAAATCTAAAAAATATTGTAAAGATTAATAAAAACGAGTATAAAGTTTGGCGATAACCCAAAATAATTTGTATTCTTTAACCTTGTGCATAAATAGTTCCTTGTGTTTCTAAACCGTGTACATTTTTAGTCTCCGTCTAAGTTTTAACAGGTTGGACAATATATATTCTAGTTGGGCTTATTTGAGTTATGCCCAAAGTGATCCATTAAAAATTGACCGTTATTTCTCATTTGTTGTCCTTTTAGTTAGTTGTTAATTGGGTCTGGGTCCCAAATCAATCTTTGCAAAGGCCTTTCAATTATGTTGCTTCTTCTCGGTCCAATAACTAGTTGTGTGGCATCTATGTAGGTATCGACATTGGACCGAAATTGGTTCATAACATTCTTAGAGAAGCAAAAGTTTTGCAAGTCTAAACCGATAGAAAAAGTAATATAATTGACTAAATTATTTTGAGAGTAAAAAAATTGTTTGACTAATTATAAAATTCAAAATACCATTTTCTTTATTTTGTAGATCTCTTTTACATTAGACGAAATCATAAAATACAAATTTAAAAATTGTAAAGATGATGGATCAAGCAGATGGGTTGGGATATGACCCATTGTTTAGCTCGTCTGAACTCAATCCATCTTAATTTATGGCCAATGACTCATTTATTGCGCTATTCCATTTTGATCCGTCCAAATTCAATTTAAGCCCGTCCATTAGCGAAACTATATGTATAGAGTGAATGTCAAAAAGTTGATTCTATGTGCATATTGTGGGTTCCTCATCAGGAACTTCCCATTAAAATGCACGTAAACAATCACATTTCAATCAAATGTTAAAGTATTTATCATGATCGTTCAATAAGAAGCGTTTTAATTTGTTATTAGAATTAGAAAAATTGAAAACCTATTGATTCTAATATGTGATTGCAATCATTTGGATCGGAGCTTTCAATTCATAGATGTGGATCTTAGACATGTGAATACTTTCTTTAGGCGGCTAGAAAGATATCCTTTGATTGGTTCGTTGTAGTGGCATTATTTAAATTCTAATATATTCATATTCAGGGGCAGATGTACAGTGTTTTCAGAGGCTTAACCCCCTCGGTAAAAAAATTACACTATATATATAAGATAAATTTTTTAATGTACGTGTATATATTTAAAATTGAACCCCCTAAACATATGTCAAAGGAGTAGCTCAACGGTTGATGGGGTTCAGGATTTCGCTTATATGAGCTTTGGGTCGCGGGTTTGATTCTAGGCAACAACATCTTCTTCTTCTTTTTTGTAATTTTTAGCGATTTTGCAGGCTTCAAGCTTCAGTTTTAAGTGTTTTTTTATTAAATATAGATAGACCAAACGACGCCGTTTCATGAGTCATAACTAATTAAAAAATTTATATTTTAAATCTCTAATTGAAAAATCAACAAATTTTTTTAAAAAAACCCTCTTTTCTAGGGATTGCAATATAATATTTTTTTCCTCCTAGTCTTCTCGTTCAATTTCACCTCTATTTTATTGCTACTAGTTGTAGTCCCGATAACAAAAACCCCTCTTTGTCAACCCGTTTGTTATTCAATCCGTTCATCTATGATCCGACCCATTTATTTATGAATATTATTAGCGTGTTTAATTTTTTTTGAACCCCCTGATAGAATTCCTGCCTCCGCCATTGTTCGTCTTAGGAGTCACTATTTTTGCTTTGTTTGTCGGATTAATATGTTTTATTTTTTGAACCCCCTTTTGTCATGGGCTGCTACCAAGCCATTTCAAATTGTTTAAAGGGTCAAACTACGTTACCTATAGATAAATTTAGACAAGTTTCTTTTGAAGTGAATACTTGAACACAAAGCATAGTTCGTAACAACCTACCTTTCAAGACGTACAATAATTCTTTCCCAACTTGAAGTGTTATTTTACCTATTAAAATACCACCCATCTCTATCAAAGATTTCAATGTCACAAATTCATTTTTATCTATATCTTCATATATTTGAATTTTAAATATCTCCCTTATTGATCTATTTGTTTATCATTATTTGAGTTTCTTATCATTATTTTATTTTCTATTTCTTTTTTTGTGTGAAAATATGAGAAATAAAAAAAAATGTGTGGAAGAAAAAATTCAAGACTATTTTTTTCAGGTAACTTGTAGTTTATCTTTGTATCTGACAAAAAATAGTGCATCTATGATAAGTATTACAATAAGTTGAGTGAAAATAAACTTGATCACTAAGATAATAAACCCAAATTATTTATTGAATTATCAAAGGCAAAAAAAAAAAAATCATGTGTGAGAAGGATCAAATATAACTCTTAATTTTGCAAAATGATCAAATATACCTATACATCAATAAAAAAAAATAAAAAAATTCACATCCCTTAAACAAATAGTGTAGATTTAGGTCATTTATATAACAGTAAATGTATGTGTGACTCATTTTTATAACTAGAATTATATCAACTCTAAATCAAAAGGCTAAAGGGCATATTACTAGTTTTCTAGATAGTATCACTTATATGGAATTTTAACTTTTGTTAATTTTTATCTTTTGCTTGAATTTCGAAATTCAAATTCGCATATCTAAGGTGATGTCTTTAATTAACTGCAAGTGTGAAAAATTATGTCTAATCTTCTTTCCCCAATGTCAATAACTAATTTATAAATGAAAATATTAGTAATTGAACTAGTCCTTCATTGTGGTAATGACAATTAATTTTAGAAAAAATTGTTTAAATACACTTATTTTATTATATTCTCTAAAATTTCCTGTCATTTGAAAAAAATTACAAAAATCCTTACTTAACGCGATGTATCAGGATGTTACTTTATGCGATGTATCAGTCGGATACATCATTTTACGCGATGTATCGATCAGATTTTTCCATTTTTCTCCCCTTTTTTCTCTTTCCTTCTTCATTAACTTTTGATGTTTTCTCTCTATTTTTTCCTTTTCTTTTTTTAAGATAAATCTTCCACTCCTACATTTAATTTGTCTCGCTATATATTCAGAAGTGAACTCAATTTTATTTTTTTAAAATATGGTTGCATCACTATTTTTTTTATTTTTAAAAAAGGAAAAAATCAAGTGAGAATTGATTTCTAGTCTTTTAGTAAATAGCAGACATTTAATCAAGTGTACCATTTAATCTTTTTGTAGTATGAGTGTCAACTGATAATATTACATCAATTTTAGAATATATATACATAAAATAATTAATTTTACAGAAAAAAACACCAATTTACGTGCCCAATTCGCCACCTTACATGTTATGATACATAGAAGTAATATTCTAATTCCAATCAAATTATTGGATTTCCTCCTACATTTTTTTTTTTGGCAATTAAATAAAGTTTAAGAAGTGATTCTAGGATTAAGATTTAATTTAGCAATATTGCATGTAATTATGTTAATAGTCTATGTGATTAAGTTATTAGAAGGATAATTGAGGTTTATAGAATTCAGTTAAAGTTCTAAACCTTATCATTGTAATTGATTGTAGAGTTATCGTTAAACGTTATTGAATAGTATGTTTAAACCTTTTAGAGAGATTTGAAGTATATCTCATTTTGAATATACTTTTTACTACAAGGTTTGATTAGATATTTGAATATACTTTTTACTATGTATGACAAGCTCACATAGAGTTTTTTTACAAATTACAAGTAATTTGAAAACGCAATCTTCTTGATACTTGAATGATTATACAGAAGCAAAATTCAAAAATAATTTTAATAAAATCTTTTGGATACCTGAATGACCATATAGTAAAACAACTCAAAGTCTAGATAATAAATTTCAACAAGACATCAATAAACGATACACCACTCAATAATTGGAATTACATAGGCTAGGCAATTGACAAAACCTAATTTCATATGCCCATTAAGCAGGAGAACAATAATGGAATCAAATTTATATTAATAATAATAATAATTAAAAAAGGAAAGGAGATGCCCCTTCCCACCCTCCCCTCCCCCCAGGTTTCGGGGTTGCAAAGGGGCAACCTTTTCGGTAAGGCGCCCTCGAAGGAAGGGTCCACAGACTTTTTACCCCAAGGTCAAGCCATCAGCTCAAATGGCAAGGTTGAGGGGATTGTGTCTTAGGTCACAAGTTCGGGCCTTGTGCCAAGCAAACTAAGTCCAGTACCCCGAGGTTTGTAATCTGCATTAGGCTCAAATGTTTGGTTCTGGATGGATATTTGGTCATCCAAAAAAAAAAGAGGAGATGATGAAGGGTTTCTGTTACCATTCATAATTTCTTCTCCCATCATGACTGCTGTTGCCAAATCGAGAAGCTGAAAACCTATGGTGATGATTATGTTTGACTGATCCATAAGAAGTTGAATCATCAAAATCAAGCCTGTTGGACTTTCTAGATGAATAAGAAACAGAAGAATGATCGCCAGAACCAACGTTGGATGTCCTGGCTCTCTTATGTCCAGGAGTTGAAGGAGATCTCCAACCATTGGATCGAGGAAAGTCTTCAGGATCATCGGTGATCCAACCAGCTCTTTGTTTTGTATTGTACCTTGATGCATATCCTCCTCCATATTCTGTGTTCTTTTTCCTTGCCTTACCATAATCATGAGGAGCAGATTGGAACTCATAATTTTCCTTTCTTTCCTTGAACACTTTCTTCTTGGGGGTTGATGATTCCCGATTCCACTTATTGACCTTGAGACATACAATAAACACACAATAAGGTAACATTGCAACGAAGAGATTTAGAGTAGGAAGCAAGAAATGACCTATAAAGGAAGAGAAAGACAGAATTTGGAAAAAAGGGGATGGAAGGTGCAAATGAGCAGTTGTCAATCACAGATATATAACTCACTATATTGGAATTAGTGCATTCTCGTGCAAAATGTCCTTCTTCGCCACACCTATAACAAGAACTAAGATGCCATGTACCACTAGTCTCCCCACGAGATCCTGTGCATGCCTGCATTGAACATGTGCAAGTTGAAATTGCAGTATTCAAAAGGATTCCTGAACAAGGACAAGAGAAACACAGACCCCACACACACAGGAGTCATGACATTTCATGGCCATTTACTTACCAAACCGGTATGGCCTAGCAGACCACATCTGTAACAGGATATTTCACTCGGACCACCATCAGGGTAGCTTGCACAGCAAAGATGACCAAAACTCTTACAAATGTAACATTGTATTTCCTGTAGAGGTCAAGGTGAAAACAGGAAAATTGATGATTAAGAACAAAAAAACAACTCAATTTCAAGTTAAAGTTTCTTCAGCAATACCTTTAGATCATCAGCAGAATAGTTATTCCAGCATGACAACATATCATGCCCAGAATCCCCACATTTTAAACACATTCTTGAACTCTCAGATCCTCCTTGGTTTTTTTCAGGGCAATCCTTAGCACGATGACCGCCCTTCTTACAGATGAAACACTCTTTGCCCTGTTCATAATCAGCAGACTGAGATATATACTCTAAGACCAAAATTGAAATAGCATTGGAGTTTTAAGGTCCAGATAATATATTTGTTTCAAAATCCAGGATAAACCTAATTTCAAATAGGCGCTCCTCTCAGATATTCAGAATACTAATGTGCAATATACTCTGGTTAGCAAAGAACCTACCAATGCGGTCTGAACCTACCAAAAAGATTAACACAGAGAAAAAGTATGTGCAGTCATGCAATAGATGCAGTTCTATGATTCTACAACTTACAACAGTATCTAAGTAGAACACAATCATCATATACTTCACTGGTACTACTGATGAACCATACCCTGCTAAGAAGACAGGAGGAGTAGGCGAGTTGATATAAATAACGTGTCAGATAAGGGAGAGGCAATGCTGAACTATGAAAAATGAAGTTGCTTTGAGGACTGCGGAAAAAGATAGAACTTATGATCTAGTTGTAATGTTTGGTCAGAAGTGGCAGTTTAGAAATTAGCAGTTAGCATTCTGTTTCAGCATAGTAGGTCTTACCCCTTTTTTGTGAACCTCAATTGCCAAGGAGTACACAGTTATTTGTATGGCTTCGTGAACATTCATTCACATCGGACATCGTTTCAGTAGGAAGTATAACTAATTCGTGCCAAAGGTCCAAATTTGAAGTCGACAAACATATACAGACCCTCTATACCTAATACCATTGACTTAGTGGTGATGTCTTTTGTTTATTGCACGGAAGTGCACGTCAAAACTGCTTGAGATTAAACTTTCCACTTAACCAATTCAACAATCGTGAGGAGCTAAACAAGGTGAAATAATCACAAAGGGGACACATAATAATGGCAGCTATTTCAACCACTAACCTTTGTACACTGTTTAGAATTATGATCAAAATTCCCACAAACAAAACATGGTTTTTTGCGTTTGGCCGAAGTACAACTGACTGTCGTATGACCCTCTTCACCACAATTATAACACGTCCCCCAACTGCTGTCTGGAGGATCAAAGTATCTGGGCCCCCGCTGAGATCATAGAATGAATAATAAAGATATAGACCAGCAAAGTCATTTAAGAGATTGTTTGGATTTGTAAAAAACAACGGTTCAAATCATATTACTTCAACTCACAAGAAGCCTTCGTAGGACAACGCCATTAGACATCTCAACAGGATTCTTTTCAGCTGCATTGTCAACAACATTCATATCTATACTAACCACATTTTCTTCTTCTTTCATTCCATCCACCTAAAACAGTCAAGAAGATAAACGTACATATCAGTGATCAAGCTCAATTTTTTCTACCATTAGTAATTCATTTTCCAGATTTCCAAATTAAATATGAAAACAAATACAGATTTAGCCTTGCAACTCATTGAAGAAGAGGAAGATTAAACTAACTTTTGTGTAAGTGATTTTTTGTTGACAAAAGATAAACCTCTCTTAAAGACTTACTTCGGGTTTCAAAGGAATGGGGTTACATAAGCTTTATTCACATCTTCTGTGATTATTGACATAATCAGAGAACAACTATCATCAGTATACAATAGAAAGAACGAAGAGGAGCGACATATGGAACAAAAATGTGATGAAGAGGAGCGACATATGGAACAAAAAAGATGCGTCAAATTTTTGGTTGACCTTCTTTGTTAGGACGGCACAATTCTCTAAACTCACTGTACTGAGAGCTAAACATGTACAGTATCATATCAGAATGGGTACTACTAGTTAAAAAAATAATCTTTAAAGGATTTCTTTTGAACAGGAAACATCAGGACCAAAGTTCATCCCTGAAGGTACATTAGTGATCCAAATTATTATCAGTCTCTATTACGATTCAGTAACCACTGGTGCCTCTAAATCCAACACAAGTAAAAAATGTTATTACAATAAGGGTTTCTTTTTAAGTTTTAACTGTTTTAAGGCTTTATAATTCACTTCATCTTAAAAACTCTGTCCACTTATTTAACACCATTTGACTGGGTAGTAATTTGGCATGTGTGCATTCAAACAGTAGGATGATAATCGAAAAGACAATAGGTTCAAAACATGAAATCAAAGTTCAAACTGGATAGCAGGATGGATCTTTTAATATATCTGAATAGTATAATGAATTAAAATTCTTGAAAGTCGTGCAAAAAACAAGTATATAAAATGATCGCTATCTTAAAAATTATTGGACATCTCAAAAAAGAGAACTTGGAATGGAAAAGGTATAGCATTTCATCCATTCCTTCAAACAAATCATCCCAAGACACAATAACTTCTTTTAATGGTAAGTACTTGTCTATCGAGCCAAGGGTCTATCCAAAACAGCCTTTGGGTATGTTCTTGTCATTGTTAATGGTAAGAACTATCTTCTTTTGTAGTTATTTTGGTTTTCTACTTTTTTGTGAATAGGTGTCATTTCCTTACCGGTTTTCTATTAGTAGCTTAAACTATACCTCCACTCATGTTTATTGGTTTGAGAAAGATAAAACTTAATTAAACTGAATATTTATGCTGAAATTGGTGATCCAATAAGCAAAAACACAGTGGTGAATATAGAACATGCAAAAACGCCAAACAGCTAAATGTGCAGAAGCAAATTCACATTACCATAGACATATCACTACAGAAGCTCTGAAACCCCTTATCTATTCCAATTGACACCTGCTGAATAACAAAGTTAAGAAATCACATAAATCAATCAACTTCAAATCAAAACAATTAGTTAAGCTAATAAACAATGCATAAAACATCATCAATGCAATCTCACCAATTTTCAGACTAAATTTAACTACTTACAGGGTCTTCTGGAATCTCAACATTCTTTTCCTTCTTCTTCTTCTTCTTCTTTTTCTCTTTCTCTTTCTTTTCCTTCTTCAAATCTGTAACAACTACAACTTCGCCATTTTTAGTTGAGCACCCACGAAGCAAAGCTTTCTCAACAATTTTCAAGCTGAGATCTTCATTAGCTTCGACATCATCATCTTCATCTTCTTCTTTTCTTTTCTTACTTCGCACTCTCTTAGATTTCTTAATTTTTACCTCTGCTAATTCCTCTACCTCCATAACATCTGATTTTGCTGATTTCTTCTCCTTCTTCTCTCGCTTACCCATTTTTTTACAGTGAAATTCCAATCGATTTGGCTAGGGTTTAAGCGGAGAAGAAGGGAGCAGAGATAAACCCTAATTTCAAAAATCCCCAATTAATAAGAGTTCGAATGTAATTAGGGATTGTTGGGCCTTCGAATTTTTAATGGGCTTTTGGAGTGAAGTTAAAGTTTGGGCCAAGTGCACATAAAGCTACTTTGAGAACTATTTAAGGCATAGCCAAATTTTATTTGACAATACTTATTGGAAGTTGTTGAATATAAATTTGTTATATTTCTTTAGTTATTTATGTTTGTTATTATTTATATTAATTATAAGTGATGTGTAATAACTAACTTATTTGAATTTCAAGTTCTACATTAATTGACATTGTTATGTTATAAAAAATGGTGTGTTGTAATTATAGCTTTGTGACTCTTGAGCATTGTTGATAAAAAAAAAGAGGAAGAGAAGGGTTGGTATTACTTAATGATTACGTGATTCGAATTAAGTCAGGGCTATAATGTGGACTCATGACATCTGGTGGAAACAAAAAAAATAGTTAATGATTGAAAGTAAAAGAGAAATTGAGTTTGAATTATAAGTAGTGCTTTTCAAAATGGTTAAGTATATTACTCTCTTTATTCCTATTTAGTTGATACTGTTTTAGATTCACGCTCCTTAAGAAGTTAGATAATTTTATCATAGTATACTCTTATTTGGTGTTCTTTGAAATTGGGTTTTCAATAAATGAACATCAATTAATTTATTTTGATTATTAATTTGATCAATGAACATGAACAAATTATTACTTAATTTTCTTATGTTGGTCAAATTCATACTCTCAAAGCTAATAACTCTCAATGGTAAAATAGGGAGAATAATAGCATTTATGCATTGATTTTGTTTAATGAATAGTACTCTCCCTTGTCCCTAGTACAACAATATTTGTCCACTATTGACTTGACACACACATTAAGAAACAACAAAATAATAAGAGTATATTAGTACACCATCTTTTGAATATATTAAATTTAATGCTTAAGAAAATGTATTAGATATTGAGTAGTATTTAATAACAAAGGTAAGCGTAAGACAAACAAAACATGTAAAACATCTCTTGATTTTTTTAAAAATAGACAAGTATTGTTGGATAACTATTTTTTATACAGTGGGCAACTAAAAAAAGGCGAAAATAATATTGAAAATATTTATTTTTTAATAAAAACGACATGAAAATAAGAACTGAGTGCGAATGTTTTTAATTAAATAAATAGGCATGACTTAATTAGATTTCTAAGATAAGATATTATTAAATGTCTTCTTATCCTCAAAAAGGTATGAAAAACATGGTGTATGAAACTTCTAAATAATATAAAAAATATCTCAATAAAGCAAAATGCACCTCAAAACCAAAATAGGAAAAACTATCAACGTGAAAATACCTATTAAAGATATTAAGATTAGAATTATTTAAATTTAAATTTGATTAAGTACAAATAATTAAGGCCTAAGGAGGGTTAAAATGGCATTATGAGTGTTTTGTTAACCCATATATTATTAAATGTCTTCTTATCCTCAAAAAGGTATGAAAAACATGGTGTATGAAACTTCTAAATAATATAAAAAATATCTCAATAAAGCAAAATGCACCTCAAAACCAAAATAGGAAAAACTATCAACGTGAAGATACCTATTAAGGATATTAAGTCAGAATTATTTAAATTTAAATTTGCATTAAGTACAAATAATTAAGGCCTAAGGAGGGTTAAAATAGCATTATGAGTGTTTTGTTAACCCAGATATTATTAAGTGTCTTCTTATCCTCAAAAAGGTATGAAAAACATGGTGTATGAAACTTCTAAATAATATAAAAAATATCTCAATAAAGCAAAATGCACCTCAAAACCAAAATAGGAAAAACTATCAACGTGAAAATACCTATTAAGGATATTAAGATCAAAATTATTTAAATTTAAATTTACATTAAGAACAAATAATTAAGAACTAAGGAGGGTTAAAATGGCATTATGAGTGTTTTGTTAACCCTAATCATAAAGGCACGATTGTAATTTGAATGCCTATATTACATACTTAATTTTAATTTACATTAATGTAAATTAATGAGATGCATATATATTCATTTTATCTTCCATGTTTGTTAATTTATTATTTTTTTAATAGTAAAAATGTCTATATAATTATTGTCAAACACATACAATTATATGCCTAGTACCATAATATAACTTTTACTATTTGAGACTCTTCTATAATATTTAGACAAAAAAATATAAAAATTTATAGAACTATACGGAAATCAAGACAAATCAAGATGATAGAATGATTTCAAAAATAATAATTTTAATTATATAAAATAAAAATGATATAAAATCGTAAATACATTAATTTTTTGATATTTTGAGAGCTTTCAATGTGATTTACGACATAATTTAAGAATCATATTTCAAATATCGTATTATTACATGTTGCTTCTTTTGCTTAAATTATCGTATAATCTATTTGTGTTTATTATTTTTCAATGCTATTTGTAAAATAATTTCTTTACTAATATATTTACTTTTCAGATCTACTTTGAAATGCTTTATCTATATCGAGGTTCGACATCATTTTGTTCAGACTACATTCTACACTTATGAAATTACCATGAGTATACCGCGTTGCATATTTAATCAAATATACCAAAAAAATAAAAAAATAATTTTTTTAAAGTGAAAAAAAATGATAAAATAAAATAGGTAAAAAATGTCAACTACCCAAAATACCCTTTCTCCTCTTTTTGCAAACAATATTTTCTTTGGCCAGCTTCTGGCGATTTCCTATTTACAATTGATCTCTCGATTTCACTTTCAGTTTTCTTCTCAAAATTACAGCCAAATCAACTCAAAATTCTCTTCAATTTCTTCATCGAATGACCATAATGACTCCTGCTCCTACCGATGTAAGTCTCAGTATTTCTTGCCCTCTGTATGATTTTCTAGTCAGTATACACAGGCATGTTCGTTTGGTTGTTTCAATTTTTTTTTTGAGTTTTAGTTTGTTTTGTGTGTTTAAAATCAGTTTAGGGCTTGTTTCTGCTTGTGGGTTTTCGTTGATTTCAGTTTTTAGTTTATGTTTATTGTTTTAGACTGTATACAGACATGTATACATGTTCAATTGGCGGATTCAGTTTTTACTGGAGTTTTAGTTTTCTGTTTTAAAATCGATTTGGTGGTGTTTATGCTTCTGGGTTTTTGTTGATTTCGTTTTTTTACTTATGTTGGGGTAGCAGGAAGAGGAGGAGATGCTTGTTCCGCGTTCAGATTTGGTATTTGAAGGACCTCAGCCTATGGAAGGTAAAATTTGAAGTTTTTAATTTCTGGGTTTGTTTTAGTTTTTTTTCAACTATGACATTGCTAGGTTTTGGAGACATTGTACTGGGATTTAATGGTTCTATTAGGTTAAATGTTGGCAAATAGAGAAATGCAAGGGAAAAGGACGCAAGAAGGAAGTAATTTGTCTGTAATGATTCTAAGCGTTTGAGGGAATAGTTTTTTTTAATGCCGTGGTGTCTAGGCTAGCTTATGCACACCTCGACTAATTCCACGGTCTTTGTCCAACAAAGGCAAGAACAGATGGAAAGAGATCACCTAGTGTTTTTGTCACCTATTGGGATTTGAATCTGAGACGTCTCATAGTTCTTGATTCACTTCATTGACCACTAGGCCACACCCTTTGATCAATTGAGGGAATAGTTTTAGGAGGAAATTATGATTCCACCTTGTATTTTTTTTATGGTTATTGAAACACCCTTGGCGAATCCCACATCTACGGGAGAGATGTTGGTTATATAAGAAAACAAGTCTTAGACCCTAGTTTTAAACCCGTGCAGGCTTAGGTCCAAAGCGGACAATATCACTAGTGGGCTGGGCTGTGACAAATATGGTATCACTTATGAGTGCCACTCTGCATGCGACCTTGAACAACGGTGAGGCAAATCTCAACAAGGACGTTGAGTCCCTAAAGAGTGTATGAAACACCATAGGCGAATCCCACATCAACAAAACACGGGAGAGATGCTGGGTATATAAGGAAGCAATCCTTAGACCCTAATGACGTGTTTTGAACCCGTGCGGGCCTAGGGTCAAAGCGGACAATATCACTAGTGGGCTGGGATGTGTCGATGTGATAGTTGTACATTGTTGGTAATGGTGAAATCTCGTCCTTAAAGAATCCAAGGGTTATGAAGACGGCAGATTTCCTAGTATCTGTTTTGTTTGCCGTTTGTTGTATTTATATGTGCTGGAATACATGATTTCAGTTCTTATTTTGTATGATCATTGTGTTTTCACTATTTTTCTGATGGCGTGTTTGATGAGTGACGTGTGGGAAAATTGAAGATTCCTTACCCTTTGCAGTATTTGTTTAAAGTTAAACCAGAGCCACTTTGTTGTTTCCAGGGTATCTTAACTGTTCTGTTACATCTCTAGTGTCATGCTCATGTAGCATATGGGCATTTGTTCCATGAATATGTCTTTGCAGATATAGGGACCAGGGAAGGATTACAGACTGCATCTTAACCACAACCTGCCAAATTTTATGATATTCAGCCATCAGTTGATTGTTCACTATATATTATGCTAATTTCTTGAGAATGGGCTTTCAAGTTTTTTTCTAATAGTTCCTCCTTAATTGCTTGTTAGCACAAGCAGAAACCGGCAATGATGTGGAAAAGCAGCCACCAGAGGATCCTCAAACTTCAAGGTTTACTTGGAAGATAGAAAACTTCTCTAGGTTGAATGTAAAGAAACTATACTCTGACCCTTTTGTTGTCGGTGGCTATAAATGGTATTGTTAATCTCTCCATGCTACTTGCAAGTTTAAAGCTACTTCCATAATCCCATGATGACCTCTTTTCTGCTGTTTTTGTTTTGCCAGGCGGATTTTAATTTTTCCCAAGGGGAACAATGTTGATTACCTGTCCATGTATCTGGATGTTGCTGATTCAGCTAATTTACCTTACGGGTGGAGTAGATATGCCCAGTTCAACTTGTCAATTGTTAACCAAATTCATAACAAGTACTCCATCAGAAAAGGTACTTCAGTAA